CAGCTGGGCGTGGTAGCGCATGCCTGTAATTCCGGCTACTTGCAAGGCTGAGGCGGAAGGGTCGTCGGAGCCCAGCAGGTCGAGTCTGCTGTGACCAGGAGTGGCCACTGCACTCCAGTCTGGGTGACAGAGTAAGACTCCAACTCAAAAAAAAAAAAAAAAAAAAAAAGAAATGTGTAAAAAAAAAACACAACAAAGTGTAGTAGGTCTTATAATTCGGACCATACTTACTAAATTTTGGATCGTTTCTGTTTCCTACACAGCAATATTTAGCCCAGTTTCATGCTCATAGATGGAACTCTATAAATGTTTGTTAAATAAATAAATGAAAGAATGAGTGGACCATTACAGTGTTGCGTCTTCATTTTGACCAGAACCTATTTTCAGTCTAGTTTCTTCCTACATAACTCATGGTTCTATACCATGAAGATAAATTTGCCTTAAATGAAGTGAAAGAACATTTTGTAAGCTTGTCAAGTTTACAAAGGACATTTATTTTGAAGAAATCAAGCCTCTTAATATATATGTAGTTTAATTATGCAAATAAATGAAATTAAAACTAGCATTTTTTTTGAGCTAAGAAAGATAAATGTATTAAAGAGAAGATACATTGTAAGGGCACAATGGGCAGGACAGCAGCAAGACTGTCTGTTGTCTACTGCCTTTTTTTTTTAAAATGTAGAGATGAGGGCTCACCAAGTCGCCCAGACTGGTTTTGAATCTGTGGGCTCAGGCAAACCTCTCACCGCAACCTCCCAAAGTGCTGGGATTATAGGCGTGAGCCATTGTGCCTGGCCTCTGCTTTTTGAAATGGTTTTTTTTTTTCTTTACTGTGTTTGTTGAAAAAACCTAACCATTTGTTTCCTGGTTAAAACCCCAGGTATTAGGGAGAGTGCACATCACATTACATCCCATTAAAATTCCAAATACTAGGGAAGTAGAACTAGAACACTTTTCCTTGTGTCTATTGCTTTTTTTTCCTTCCATTTTTAAAAGCATTAGAAATTGTATTCTAAACCTGTTACACTCGTTTCTTCATTTTTTTCCTCTACAATATAGTTTGCTTGCCTTTCTAAACTTTTGCTCAATATCTATAAAAATATTTGCTTTAGCATAAATGACTAGTTCACAATCGGATAGGTTATGAAGATACTTTTTTATTTAATTGTATTATTAAATTCTGCGGAAAAGTTTAATGATACTATTGGAGAGGACCCAGCATATTCTATGATGGAATATGTACTCTTGAAGTTTCAACATTATTTCCTAGGCTGAATAAGGTTCTTCCATTAAAAGCCCATCCAGGGAGCAAGCTCTGACCATTGAACATGGCAGCTACTGGCTCTGCGGGAGGTCTTTCTGGAAACAAAACGGCACAGAGCTGGGTCAAAACTTAGGAAAAGGGGCTCTGTCCTTCTCTGATGCTATTGTTTCCTCTAAAAGACTTCATCCTCCTCCCCTGCCCACCACAGGAGAATCAGTAATGAAAAGAGTCGGAGAAGAACAGTAAACAGGAAAATTCACCTTCATTTGCATCCTTCCTCCCTTTTAGAAAGTATTCACTTTATTCTGGGAACCAAAAACTCCTGGAAAGTATGACTGGGGTTAAGAAAACCTTAGCTAACTGGCTCAGTGGCTCAGCCTGTAATCCTGCGCCTTTGGGAGGCTGAGG